GGCCCCCGGGGGCTTGCCGATCCCTGAGCTTGTGGACGATAGAGGAGGCACGAGGGTCCTCCCTGGCCGGCCGAATGTCTGCAGGCCCCTGGCCTGTCCTGCGGCCAGAACACCATTCCCCCCCTCTTCCCTTGTCCCCAACTCAGGCAGCCGACACTGGCGAGAGGAGAGGTGGGGCTGGAGGGGAACTAGGCGAGGAGACCGCTGCTGGGTGGATTTCGGTATTCATTATTTCCGTCGGTGAGGGCCACCTGTGTACCCACCGCGCTGGTTACTGGGGACACAATGCAGGAATGTCAGGCGCTACTTCCTGTCCAGTGGGGCTCAGGTCCTGCAGTGGAGCTGGGCCACGGGACTCAAGGAAAAGTAACCGCACAAGCTGTCCCACCGGAGGTCAGACCGCAGGCTGGGCCTTAGCCCAGGGAGAGCTTTCTGGGTCTGCAGCGGGGCCTGTTTTCAGTAGTGCAAGTCCATGGGCATCAAACCTAGGAGCCCAAAGGGCCACCTACTTATGCAGCCCCACCTGGGCTGCCGCCAAGGATCCCTAACACACCTAAGCTGGCGATGCCAGCCCATAGGCGGGGCAGGACTGCGCTGAGAGCGCGGGCACTCGTTTCACTGAGTGGCTCTGTCACTGAGGACCAGGACTAGCGAAAGCTGAGCTGGCCGTGATGCCAGCAGGGTGCCTGTGAGTGAGCGAGTGAGCGTGCACCTATGCCCAGGGGTGTGCCCCTCGTGTCCACTTGGGGCCTCCACACTGGGTGGAGGCAGACCCCTGGCCCAGGGCAGTGTGTTTGTGCCAGAGCCTCACTGGGTCCCAGCATGGGCGAGCTTGGGAGGGCACACTTCCGGCATGGCATGTGGGGTCCAGCGCGGGCAGCCTGCACAGGGGCAGGCGATGGCGTGGGGCAGTGGTCAAGCAGAGCGTAAACCTGCAGACAGCAGCAGAGGTGGGTGGCAGTGGCCAAGCAGAACCATGTCTGGCCTGACGTTCTGTGGCCTGCTTCTCCTTGTCTCCTCCCGTGTCCAGCCGCACGGACACGGCAGGCTGACCGAGGCCCTGTCACCTTGACCAGGTTGAGCCCTGGAGTGGGGTTCCCTGCCAGGCGGTCTGTGGCCACTCGGCCCCCGACCCCGCGTGCCCACCCAGTCGTGCAGGCACAACTACGCCCTTCCCGAATGGCTTCTCTGCCCACCACACCCTCCGCCCTGACAAAGGAGGGGGGAATGCTACCGAGGCCCTGCCTGCAGGCTGGCATCTGGGCACACAGGACACACCTGGGAATGACCCGGCTGCTGTGGGGCATGATGGCCAGTCGGCCCCTCCTCCAGGGCTGAGTGTAGGAGGGCTTGTGGGGACCAGCGGCCCAGGCCCGAGGGGAAGAGGTCTGGCTGATGCGAGTCCATGGCCTGTCCTCGTGGGTGTGTTCGGGGCTGCACCTGCTGGTCTGCCCTGCCCCACCCCTTCCCACCCTGCCCTACTTGGGGTCGAATCTGATGTCCCGCGTGGGCTTACCACCGTCCCCTGCGCCTGAGTTCTGGAGTGTCATCTGTGTGCCTGGGACATCTGATGGTGGGTGCCCAGCTGGGGGCAGCCAAGCACCATGGGCTCCGCCCCAGAAGGGTGAGAATGCCGCTGAAGCTGGCTTTCACCTTTGTTCGGAGACTCTACGACACAGGTGTTCAGGGGTCACAGGGCATGTCATGCTCCGGAGACAAGGTTCGTTTCACCTCCTGCCTCTCGAATTTGCCCGAACTGGGATCTAAGGATGGGGGCATGCCTGGGGAACTTCTACCCTGTGGTTGGTCCCCGGCAGGCCTTTCCAGACCTCTGCTACCTTTCCTGGCAAATTTCTTCTTCCGAGCTCGCCCTCTCCCTGGGAGGCTCTGTACTCGCCCTCCTCCCCTCTGCCTGAAATACCGGAGCTTCCTCTGTCTGTCCGGCTCCTAAGCATTCCTCAAAGCCCATGAACACCACAAGCACCCTCTGCCCAGTGCTGCCTTCTTGAGAAATGCCCTGTGTACCCAGAGTTGCCCCGACCCCCCATCTGTTAGCTTAGCCCGGCCACCAGGTGGATCTCAGCTATGTGGACCTGGGATTGGCAGACGGGGTTCTCTCAGAGCGTGTGGGGGTCATGGGCGGCCCTCCTTGCTGTGCAGACAGTCCTCAGGGTGGAGTCGGGACAACCGCCTGGAGCCGAGGCACCCTTCTTCCTGGCAGCTCAGGCTGGGGTCCCCTCTGACCGAGGCTGGGCTGAGCACCATCTAAAGGTGTCGGCCCAGGACCGGGAGCAGAGGACAGTGCGTGACAGCCCCTAAAGCACAGAGCTGCTGAGCCAGGGGAGCCTTCCTCGGGCAGGGTAGCAGCAGTGTGGAAGAGAACACCGAACAGCTGCCCCTGCTGATTGCTCCCAAGGTCAGGCGTGGCCATGTGGTGGCATTTGTGGCCTGGAATGGGTGATGTGTCCCACCCTGGTCAGTCTGGCTGACCACTACTGCCCAGGATGTCCGAGGCAGGAGCAACGGGGACCTGGGGGTGAACAGGTTCTGCTCAAGCATGCCTGCAGGGACCGCTGGGCTGGAGGGTCCAGCCCTGACTTGCCTCGGGTCTTTGTTCTCATGTGTCAGGGGTGGCTTCCAGGGATGTCACCTCACTGCTCACCGCACCGCCATGACAAGAGGGCTTCTCTCCCCGGGGACAGGTCAGGGCACAGCCTGCCGACACGGAGCACTGTCCACCTTGGCCCAGACACCAGGCCAGAGCATGTCAGGCGTGCAGGGCCGGGTCACTGAGGCACGGGCCAGGGGAACGCCAAGACCCCGCCGTCAGAGGCCAGGCTCTGCAGCAGCCAGGAGTCGGGGTCTCCCACGTCTGCCTGGTTCGCGGGCCTCCCCGCGCCTCTGCCCACATCAAAGAGCTGGCAGTCATACCAACAATGCATTCTAGGGTAGGGGTCCCCTGAGAGGAGCCAAAGCTAGTGAAGCTAGAGAGGAAAACAGGAAGCAGATGCCCCCAGCCCACGCCTGTTCTGCAGCCTAATGACGTGGCCATCTGCACCCCAAGAAGCCCGCAGGAGGGCTGCTGCCTCATGACATGGGCGGGGTGCTGAGACACTGGCACGGTGTGCGGAAAGCAGAGGCTGGGAGCTGAGGGCGTCAGGGGAGTCCATGTGGGGCTCTGTAGGACGTAGTATGGAGACCTTGCTGCAGGGGCCAGGCCTCCCTGGGACAGGATCCGGCCCACTGACACCCCTCCCTGCCGAAATGATGCCACCCTTCTGAATTCTCCTGTTTCCAGGTGTCCTTGGAGGTTTGATTTGATTCTAAGGTGCATTTTTTAAAAAATTTTTTAAAGAATTATTTTATTTTAATTTATAATTTATTTATTTTAATTTGACCAGAGAGGGACAGAGTGAGCAAGAGAGAGAGGGAAAGTGAGAAAGCAAGCTGCCAGGTTCAGGACTTGAACCACAGACAGCCATGTGGGATTCCAGCACCTTAACCACCATGCCTCCTGCAAGCTCTAAGTTGCATTTTTTTTTTTTGTAGGGTTTTTTTTGCTATAGAGA